GTTCTGGTTTGCTCCACCCTCTTCCTAGCTGACACACATTGCCGCCTTAAGGACTTTATTCACATTTTCTATATTTCTCGCCCCCCTAATAGAACTGCATTATGACTTCAAGAATATTACAAAGGAGTAAAACCTGGTCCAAAATGTACATTTTCGATGAAAATCATTGAGCGGTTTTTGAGAAAAATTCGCTTGAACGTTTCTGAAAATGCGCAATTTTGAGATGCTTGACAGGAACCTTGCTGAAGCTGAAGCACATTCTGAGTTAACACGGTGACCACAGTCGTGGAGCGTAGAAAAAGTGTTTGCTGATTAGAAACACTTTTGCAGGTTCTTGTAGTAGGATAATATTGAGCAGCCATTACACAAAGAATGCGACAAAGTATGCGCTATACTACCAATTCTTGTTACCTTCAAAACACCATGTAGGAATATTTAGTTACTAAAACCACGAATTACGGGTCCCGGGTCCCGAAAAATTGGTTTATAGAAATACGGCAGTCTGTGAACAATGCTAGCGGCTAAACCGTACGTGGGATTTTCATGAAAATTGATATTCCCCTATCATTCTCGCAGTTGTCACGGAAACGGACATTTTAATTTTTGGAAGTGCTTTGCATGAATCCTCAAAGTTTTTCAATTTCTCAAAAATGACTACAACATTTTTCTTTAATTTTTTATCGGATATTGCTAAGTATGCTTATAAAAATGGCAATAGTGAGTATTTAAAAATGGCGCATTAAGTACCTGAACTTTCGAAAATTGTAAGTTACAAAATAAATGCAAAAAGGAAAGAAAAACTACTATTTTGCTCGTGTTGCTCAAAAATATTACAGTGGTGCCAGAAATTTTGTTATATATATTATGACATATTTCGAACGAGTATATTACTAACTATCGAAACCCGGCAGTTGTTTTGCCCTTCATCTTTCTCTCTCCTCTCCGTCTCTCCTATTTCTCGCTCTCTCCGTCTGTTTCTCCCTCTCGCTTCGTCTCTCCCTCGACCCCGCTCTGTCTCTCTCTCTGCGTTATTCTCTGTCATTTAGTTGCAGATTCTGCAAGTCTCTGAGCCAGTGGGATAATATCGACAAGCAGCGGACCACCGCAAATGTAAAATAATGTTCAAGATCTCATCCATCGGAATACGGTGTAAGAAACGTTTCTTTGAGGCTTCAAAATTTTAGTTTTTAATGCCCTACAATGCTTTGTTCAGGAATTATTTAACGATATAAAGTCAAAAAATCGTGTGTGTTGCGGGCTGTATTTGACATGAATATTAAGTTTAGTTCTTCTTTTCGTGATTATTTTAAATATTTTAATAGTTCGTTATTCGGGGCGGAAATGAATCCAACAAATCACAGATAATTAAAATTGGTTCAGCCGTTCTTGAGTCATAAATGGTGTAACTAACGCGACTTTTCTTAAAGAAAGAGAGAGGGTAAGAAAGAAAGAGATTACCGAGTGAAGTGGGTCAGTGCGTAGCGCGCTGACTTCGCTATCGGGAGGTCCAGGTTCAATCCCCGGAGTTTTGCGCGGTTTCCCTTGGTCATAAGGCGTTTGCTGGGATGCTTCACGATCACCTCTCACCACCCCACCATCATCATCCAAGCCCTTTCACCCCTCATCATCACCCTCTCACGTTATTCAGCATTTCCTGCAAAAGGCAAGAGGCCCTTTCCCTTAATGGGATCTTAGTTTATTATTAATAAATAATAATAATAATGAGCAACCAAAAGAAAGTAATATTAACTTTTAAAATGACGTTTAATGTATTACATATCATTTAGATTGTATAATTGTAAAGAACCTTTAACAAGAATTGTACTTCAGCTTCTGGTCAATGACCCCCATTTTGATCAGGTTTTCGTCCAGTCCTTGTTTTGCTTCTGGACATAAATGTAACTTCAAATTAACTTCTCCCCATAGCACGTCATACACAGTTTTTAAATGTTTTTGACGTAAATAATAATAATAATAATAATAATAATAATAATAATAATAATAGTCAACGTTTTATGTAGAACAGCATCTTATAGAAAAAAACTGTGCAGCTTCCAGGCATGAGAGAGGAGTCTATGGTTCCGTTAGATACTACGGAACTGGGTTTCATTGATTGCTTAGTGATTCCTGACGCATCAATTGCTACGATCATTTATAGACCGGTAAGTGTAGTGCATGTTTTTACTCGTGGGAGGATGATTTTTCCTTCGCAGATGATGAGATACGGTGCCGACTTACCTGTCGACTAGCGGTTTTTCTCATACAAGGTATCTTCAACCAGAAGATCGCGCACGGCCCGTAGCCAGGTTGTTAGGGTACTGTCCTGTATTCGCCTGATGTTGAGCGGAGAAACCACGGAAAACTATCAAAAGCAGCCAGACGGTAGAATTCTCATTCAGAGACCGGCTGAATTCGACCTAGTGTCCAAAGTCCTGCCAAATGGAGCCAAAACCTACGACCTCCCTGTCAGAGGTACTGCAGTGACATCAGGTGATACCCTGAGCCAGCTCTCCCGGTCAAAGGAACTCCGAAAAATCCTAACCAATGAAATCGTTTTGATTTCGACTAAAAACTGCAAATATCTGATTTTGTTAGTCCCCTATTCCCATTCCTTGCGCATTGAACTCAGTGCCTCACTGCATACAACGCCACTGCTCCACCTCCAAGGAGGAAGCTGCTATTCACGCCGTTGTGTTATGGAAGAGCAATGAAGTTCTTTGTAATCAACAACTTGTACTGTACGAATATTCTACACTACGTTATTGTAGTATTTGTGAAGAATGTTGTTAATTTTTTTTTTACTTGCTGAAATGTATTCGAAAGTATTTTATTTGTTCTTGAGCTCCTTTTTGACTTTTTAGAAAATCATTTTGGGTGCTTTTGTTCGGCAGTACTGTTGCCACGGGTCACGAACACACAATACAAGAGCAACTAAATTATAAGTCTAATAAACAATTAATAAATGCCATTGATGTTAAATCATTCACAGTTGCCAAATGACAAAGCCACTTCCCCAAATACCTTATAACAATTTCCCAAATTTTCAGGTTAAAAAGGGAGAGTAAGGGATTAAACAAAGAGAAATAAATGATGCTATTAGTTGCGGGTCTCCTTTCAACATTTTCAGGACGACTCCGTCTCAGAAGTGGCAACGTTGATGTGCGGCGTAATACATTTCGTAATTTGTATTGCCTTTTGGCAGAATGACGATTTAGTATTTGCTTTTCTACTGAAAACAGAAATTAAAAGCGTTTTTTGACGAAGATAGTACGTCGAAATCTCTGGGCCAAAACATTTCTCGAAAACGTGAGTCAACCAGTAAATAACGTATTAAAATTATTATTTTATTTTCTGTTTGTATATTTAACGACTAAGCTTGTAATTGGTCTTTTTTAGTCATAAAATTGTATTTCGAATAGAAGTTTTATGTCAAAAAATAAAATATTTGTAATATACAATTTGTAAAACGTTAATTTTCTGTTTTTAAAATAAGGATAAAAGACAATCAGTAAATAACGTGAAGAGCTTTATCCTTACTTTTAAGCTTATTCTACCCAATTCTGTCGCGTTTCAGACAATTCTGAGCGCCGACAGGCTTTAGAATCAATTATTTTTGTTTCAGAATAAAGCGCGCATATCAACAAGAAACACGAAGAGTTATCATCGAGACGGATGCGATGTAACGCAACATTGCATTCATTCAAAACAATACTGAAATAACATTGTTCCTAGAAGCATATTCGGATAATTTTAGTATGTTTACTACGTTCGCAGGGGGGTGGATGGTACTTGATAGCTAGCAGGTTAAGGTCTGAAATCATTCGATTGCGACCTAATTGTTCATGATTTAAAAGGGATAATAATAGAATGCAGATCGTTCGGTTCGATCATGGTTTTCAAACGCACGATGCGCGTTATGTCTTGTGCTTACGTACTGTGATCCTCCAAAATAATTGTGAATGGCACTAAATTTCCGTAGCCTGGCATTAAAGCAGTGCCCTCTGGACCGATGTAAAGAAGTTTTCTGTCCCTTGTGAACAAACACTAGTTATTTCGAATGGCAGGGGTAGTGAACAATGTACATAAATAAAATGACACATCATAATCAAACCGCGTTCCATGTCAATATATATTAAAAGGTATACTACCAAAATACTTTTAAAGCCTCGTGATTAGTTACTTTCTTCGTAACGTCATTTCACGTCTTCGTACTTTGTCAGAGCGCCATACGTGTTAATAACTATTCTGCATGATGAACCTAAGTTGCATTGCGGTAATTTTGCAGTTTTATTTTGATTTTTTGTGTATGACAAGATAGGTGCCAATGTACCAAGTTCCTATCGAATAGATACCTTCCTTTCGCTCTTCTGATTCTTTGTTATTTGTGCCTCCGATTGTCGAGCGTTTGTGTTACAACGGTTTGGAATGGAATATTTGAAATGGAATGTGTTTTAATATGTGGTGCTGAAAGAGGTTTGACAATTAAGTGGATTCAGAACTATGGATAGATTGCGTCAGGGTTTACGTGTACAAAGTACAGGTGTTCTACGAGTTTGGCCAAGTGGAATAAATATTAAGTAAAAATGGAAGAAGTAGGGTGTGATGGCTTCGAGTGAATTGCAGTAAGAAAGAAGTCGTTCATATGTGTGCAAAAGGGAACATAGATCGCGAGAAACAAGGTGATTATGAAAGATTCTTGCCTTGAGGGCATCTCCAACTGATATGAAACTTTTACTCATTTATTTCAGAACGCTTTTCGTAATGTTACAGGGAAGGCGTAAGGAAACAGCCATTCTACTGCCTCCCATTCTCCCTCCCCATCTACTGCTCGCGTCACTAGTGTGTACCGTTTTCTCTACTTCACTTTTTTTACAGTTTAGGAGGATAAAAATCAAATATTTAAAAAAAGAATCCTTTGACCTATATTTTTACTTAAGCCTTAAATACCCTGGCCTTGGCATTAAATAATCACGGAAGAATTCAAAATGGAGCAGAATCACTTACCGGTAGAAATCATTTTCGGTAATCATATCACGAATGCTGTCTTCCGGGTCCACTCGATCGTACAGTCCCACATGACGCGTTGAACTTCTCGGGCCTTCCGCGGAAAAGTCACCCGATATTTTCCGCGCCTGCCTCTCGGAGTTACTGGGCCGCACATCCACTTCCGTTTCACTGTCACTGAAATACTTGGCCTTCGGTAAAACGTGGGTCGACACCAGATCATCTTCGTACACAACACAAGCAGTCTTCGGTATCGGCGAATCGCATCGCATATGCTGAATATCTGTGGGCGAAGTCAGCGCCCCTCCTTGCAGGACGAGATCGTCGCTCTTGCTGTGCTTCAGTTCCGTTCCCAGTTCTCTGTCCCCGGAGCGGCTGTAGCGCGGTACCCCCGGGGGCCTGCACCCCTCCAGCAGGGCACGGGGAAACGTCTCCCCGCGCGAGGACACGGACTGGATCAGCAAGTCCGTCATTTTCGGGAAACTGGAAGTTCAAAATACGCAGTTAAGAAAATTACAAAAAGGCTTAGAACGTAAATACCTTATCACAAAATGGTGCGGAATTAACGAGTGTAATTATTATTGTGAGATAGGCAAGGTTTGATAAACTAATAAATACAAATCACAAACGAGCATTCAACCGCTAGGCGACCAGCCACGGAGTTTATTGGTGTAGGGTCCTTCCCAGAAGACGATGCGCTTATACTCAACAGTGGTTATCGCAGGTATCTACAACTAGCAACACAACTGAAGATTCTTTGTGTTTGGTAAACAATAATTTATGTGACATTACCTACCTAATATGCCAAAACAAATAATATTTGATGTTGAAAATAATACCCGCATGTCTTGTCACAATTTATTCACAAACATTCGTTCAAAATTTACGACCACGATACTGTATCAAAACATTTGGCAGCTATTTTCTTTACAGCATTGCAACTTCTTCGAAACAAATTTTGTCCACTGCAGCGCCCAGAAAACTAAACATGAAATACATTTTTCCCCAAAGGCAAGTAATAATGAATGTTACAATGACTTGCGAGGAAACTGTCCAATGATTATCGATAATCATTCAAACGTAGTTTCATGAGCACGAAAAATGTTGAACACAAAGTATTCAAAACAAAGGAACGCGCATTACAAATTTCTTTGCTCATTTATAATTCCTTCTCACAGAATACTTGCATGTATACCGTTACACCTTTAGTTTTGTAAATAACTTTGCCTAACACATGGTTTTAACAAAAAAAATAATGAATACTCTGTCAAAAATGATTTCGTTCAGGAAATTTTCAGAATTAATTCAACAATGAACCTGGATACATTATGTAGTTGAGAGTACCTACAGGTATCTAATAGTAAAATTTAGTAGAACAAGTGTTACCCCTCAATGGTGACACTTCAGTTGGATTCTTTCGGCCAAGGTATCTTCAATGAAAACACCTCGCATCATACTAAAAAAAATAGTTTCGGCGGGAAATCATTGCAGGTCTTCCACATTCAATCAGGCACAATTGGATATTTCTGTCAACTTAAGGAGCACTCATCACTACAAAACAAATACACAAAAGCGGAAACACAGCTTCACAACATTCCGAAACAAATAGCCACACGAGCACTCAAATAAACATACGCAACACAGACAACCACTGCCATCCACAGACTGGCAGGTCAGCAAACACGGAGAACATCAGAAGCCGACTCCGTAAGCAGCGCACTCGAGCGGGTTATTCGGAACTAAATCTCTAGTGGAGGAAACAGATTACAACGCTGGTGCAATGTGTACAAAGGAGGATTCTAGCTTCGATGACGCTTAACTTCCCAGTTTAGAATAGAAATGATAGAGATAAACAGTATGCTTTAATTTTCGTTTAGTATAGATTTCGACCAATTGTATTTAGCCTCACAAATACTTCCAATGAAACTCTCAATACATTCAATATTTCAAGGTTGGTGCTGTACACCGATTCTCACTTGTCCACTTTTCTGCTGCAAAAAATTGTTACCAACATCAAAGTGTTATTTACTTTATGACCTGTAGTCCATGGTGTAAATAACACATTTTAGTTTCAGGCATATCACATGAATGCTGAAGAAGAATAAACGTTTAGCTGTTCCAAATAGGTTTCGTATACCTTTGATTTTTAGTTGATGTAATTTATTTTCGTCAAATTAAGGGGGAGGTGTATTCCTTGCGCACATTTTCTTGAGCTCTTCCTCACCCCTTTACAATAACAGTTAAATGGTAATTAAAAGTACCAACTATGTGTGGTTAGAAAAATCTGAAAACAAGAAATTTTCGTCCCTGAGTTATATAAAACTTGGCATTTGTAACCGAACTAAAAATTTGATTTGATGTTATTGCTAATAAAAATAAAAACCAACTCTCACCCCTACATGTACACCTACCATAAGTAGCTGTAGAGCTCAATAAGAAGTGCACATAGCGAACCTACATTTATACCCAGAAGCAAAGCAAGGGGTCATCAGCATTTGGTCAATTGATCAGGAGAAGTAGATGAAAATCCTGATTGAGATGGGTCCTTAATAGCAAAACGTTATCCTTTTAATTCCTAATTTGGAAACATAATTTTTGTTCACTATTTTATGTTCCAAGGATAATTTATTAGATAGCAGTGTGAGGTTTATACTGTGTGTGTATTTACTATGATGCTGTAATTCAAAACTCCTTTTTGGCTTTCAGTTTATATGGTTGTGTTCAATGTTTAAGCAAGTTCTTTTTGAATAAATATTTCTAAGTATAAGTGGAGAACATGACTTCAGTTCTAGGAAGACTATTATACTATGAATGTGCTGTTCCACTAGTGAGGTATCGTCACTTTTTGGTAGGAAAACCTCCAGGTGTTGCCCGATCGTTGGAACAGAGACTAGCAGGTCTGTGGTCAATTGGATGTGGTGAAACAACTAAGATGTTCAACTATTACTAACATTTACTGTTTTATTAACAGAGTTAAATTACAAAGATCCTACTCTGCACTTCAAGGTAAATATTGGTTTCAAACCACCTCTACCACCAAAAGCATCAAGTGTGCGAAAGGAATTGGCAGCGTTACGATGTAGTAAGGAACTGGAACATTTGGCCAGAACTCAAAAATGTAAGTTAAATTATAGACTATGCCTGTGTAAATTTTTGCCTTTGTTTATTGAATTCTTGTTATGTGACTAAGTGCCATGTAGTGTCTTATTAACTTTGTTTTTGGTGGTAATTTTATGAATAATATTGTAGTTTATGTCAGGTGAGTGAATGGATTTTTCTGTTTAACCAGTAAATATTTAGAATTACTGAGAGTAGGTTCCAACTCATTAATACAGAAATACTGCATTACAGTGGAAATACCCTTAGAGGCTGTGGAAGAAACATGGAAAACAACAGGAGCCCCATTTCACATTAAAACTATAGCAGAGCACTATGGAGTATTTCAGGATCTTTTTGGTGATGCCTATTTTTATCCTGTAAAACCCCTGGACATTGACTACAAAAGCGGTGATCTCTACCATCCAGTTTATCGGGGAAATGTTATTAAACCAAGTGAGGTAATCCTTGTTTTCTGTAATATTGTAAAATCTTTCAAACGGAAGTATCAGATTAGAGTAAGGTTTACAATTGTTTTCCGGGTTAAAGTAGAGGACACAATGCACCCTACTGAAATGAGCAGTGGAGGGGATGGAGAAGGAAAGGGCAAGAGTGTTGAGGGAGGGGGGGGGGGTCAGGAATGGGAGGAAGCAGAAGGAGAGTGTACTTCATCCTCCCTTGAACATTTTGAAAAACACACTGAAATAAATATATAAAACTTACCGAAGCAAAATTTGTTTTGTATCAGTTGGAGACACCCTCAAGGAAAGACAAGAATCTTTCTTATTTGTCATGAACCACGACCCCTTTCATACAGAACATGTCCACATGAACTCCTTGAATCCAATCTCTTCCAGGTTGATTGTCAGTAAATCCTTTTTCTTATCTTCTTTTTTTCTTTTCAGTTATCTCCAAAAAACATTCCATTCCATTTGTGGTCCCTTTATGGGAAACCCCACTTTTCATGAGATTAGTTCAACCAAAAATCTCTCTTAACACATGTTCATACATACTGATATTTAAATAATTTACTGTTTCTAATAACAAAACAAATTGAATAGTTCAGTACATAATATTGTAAATGAAAGTTTCAAATTTGCAACAATTAGTACACTTAATTTTCTCTCTTCCAGGCATCAAAACCTCCTGAAGTCCAATATAAATCGGATCCAAACACTTTGTGGACTCTGATTCTTACCAATCCAGATGGACATTTTACGGAAGAAAATGCAGAATATGTACTTTGGTTTATGTTAGTATTTATACATATATGTATGAATGAGATGTACCTTGTAAGGGATAAATATTTAAAAACAGTGTGTCAGAATAAGTGTTTTGAACTAATAGAGAAAATAGAGGTGTCAAAAATGATCATTTCTTGCCAATTAATGCGTGGAGAGAAATTTAATGTGAGGGAGTTACACATGTGCAATTTGCCCTTGATTATTAGAAACTTCTAGCTGGCATCGCTAGCTGAATTCATTTACTATGATCCGTGAAGTCATGGAAGAATTTGAGACCTTGTGGGTTTGTGGTTGGCTGACTATATAGGAAACCCTGGATCTAACAGCGCATAGTCGAAGAGATAAAAGACACTGACTGTGACATGGCGAGACTTGACAAAGATAATAGCAGAGGTTTTCTCGATGTACCCAATGCCCAGCAAGGGTTTAGAGAAGTGTTATGTCAGCAAAGATGTAACAAATTTGTTAACAAAAATTAAAAATGACATCTTCTTGTGAAGGTCAGGTGCTGACCCAATCAAGGAGATTTCATGTAGCTGCTAAGGTCCTTGTGCGTGGGATTGCCTAACAATCAAGCGTCTTCATAAACATCATATGTATAACTCTGTAACATTAAATTTTCCACTACATGTTCATTGGTGAAAAGTGCTCATTTTCAATTCTTCTACATGCCCTAGAAGTTTGTAACATTTATTCTGAGACATTCTTAAATAGCATTAAGATACAAATAATATACCAATGATAATCATCATCAATATATTAAGTTTTAGGTCTTGTGACCTCTTCCTTATTTCCAGTATTCTACACTAGTTAAGACGTTCCTGGTCCTCCCCTCCATCTCGTTGGTCTGCTGGGTTCTCTTATTTCCTTTTAGTCTGTAGTTCATTACCATCCTTTAAAGTCTGCTTGGTTTCATTCTTTTTCGTGTTCTTGCCATTTTGCCTGATAATTATCCATTTCAGTAACCCCATTCTTTGTTTTTAGTGTTTTCTGTATTATTTTGTTTCTTGTTTTGTCTTTTCGCGGTACTGCTCTCAGATACCTCATTTGGGCTGTCTCTGTTTGACTGCCATATTGTAGGGTTGGTTTTGCCACTATGTTATTTATGTTTTGAAGTGTCTGTTTATATAAACATTGATCTTGTTAAATTTTGCCAGTTTTGTCTCAACTTCCACGTAATCATACCTTGTTGCATACTTATGTGAAATTTGATACTTGTTCAGTTATCTGATTATCTATTATAATTTTTACTCTGCAGAAATCTTTTCTTGATATTCCCATTGCCTTGGCTTTAACTATTAATATTTTCATTTTGAATTCCTTTAAGTCTGAATGCTACTTTTTAAAGTTAATCTTCTGTTGCAGTCAGTACTACTTGGTTGTTCCTTGTCTTTGTTTCTTCCTTTCTTTCATAATATGGTTCACATGTACTATATTGATAAGCAAGGGGAGAGTGTACATCCTTGTCATAGTCCTACATTTGTAGGTGTTGCTTTGGAGATACTTTCATCCAACCTTAGTATTTTAACCTTTACTTCTAGATGTTGGCTTTCTCTTGCGTTTGAGGTGATAGTTCTGTGCTTCTTCTTTTGGTATCTTTCAAAGTTTCTTCCTTTCCACCTTGTCATATGCTTTTTCTTGATCTAAAAATATAAGGAATGTTGAAAGAATATGTTCCTCTCTTAATTATTTGTTCCACCATGAACATTGCAGCAATTGTGCATCTGCCCCTCCTAAAACCACAATATTCTTCATCAAGATTGTTTTCCATGTATTCTGTTGGTTTGTTCTTCAGTATACTTACTTATATTTTGTAACTTGTGGTTTGCATGGTAATTTCTGTATAGTTTTCGCATTAGTTTTTTCGACCCTTTGTATGTATGGTCATAATTAGTCTGGTTTGCCATTCTATTTGGGTTTTTAGTTCTATCTATATTTCATTTAAAGCTTCTAATAATTTTTGGGGGGTTCTTTCGCTACATATTCCACTAATTCTATTTTTACATTGGCTGATCCTGGGCTTTTCGGATTAGTGTTCTTTATCTTCTCTAGTTCTTCCATTTCTATAGCTGGTGTGTTATTTCTTGTTTCTGTTTCGATGTCGCTTTGTGTGTCCTCCTCTTCATTCTGCCATAAGTTTTCATAGTTTTATCCATATTTCTTCTAGTTTATTCGTAAGTATGGTGACTTTTTGCCATTTTAAGTTTCTTTAGTATTTGGAAACCTATTCTTTAGTTACCGTATTTACCTGAGTATAAGTCGACTCTGAATACATGATAATCCCCTAATTTCGAAGAGGTCTCCTGAGAATATTTTAATTTCTTAACTCCTTATTAATTAGTCAAAATGAAATTGCAAGATGTTTTATTTACTACAAATTTGCCTTGTTGATGAGAACGTTAAGGCTTATTGCTGAACTATCATTTTCTTATTCCTTAAAATCGTAATCTTTGTTTTTGTCAGAACTTTCATCATCTTCCCATGTATCCATGTTTATTTCTTTTTGGTGCTCCTTCCATGCTGCAACATCTTACTTTTTAAGCCCCTCTGCAAGTTTTGCAGACTAAATTGCAGTTGTACATGGTCTTTCATCAGATGTTTCACATTCCCATGTGTGTCGCAGATTTTCTATCCGTACCGCACTTGTTGATAGCTTCTGCTTCTTTAATTGTTCAAAACACACATTCGCATTCACCGGGAGTCGAACCCACATTGTGTAACGATATTTCGGCATTCATTCTCATCTTATGTTTTATTTGATACAATCCCATTCGTTTTGAAATTCTCTCTTAACAGTCATTTCAAAAATATTGGGCTGAATGCCCTCAAATTCGAGGTGGATGCCGAGAATATAAACGCAATTATGAAGGTACTGATATACGGTGCGTATACGTGTGGTATTTTTTACCATCTTCTCAGTTTATTGTTGCTTCAACATTTATGAGTTTTTGTTACATGGAACGGCAATGTAAAAACTTAAACCATAACCGACTTGGCTTAATCTGTGAATATAAGACGATCCCACATTTTAGACTTATATTTCTGAAAAATCTCGACTTGTATTTGTAAAAACACGGTATATTTCTTTTTATTGTTTTGATGAATTTGTTCCATTTTTCTTCTCATTTTCCTTGAGATTCTTCTCACCTGTGCACATAGTAGTTGATGTATATGATTTGTAATACTTCTTTTTCCTAGACATGTGTTATAGGCTTTTTAGCTTTATTTAGTCAAAAAAACAGTAAAAAATGTATGTGACGTATGGGGGAGAATATCAATTAATTCTTTTAGTTTGCAATCTCATTGTTCCAGGTGCATAGCCACTTTTTGCTCTTCTTTGGTTTATAACCTATTGCCTCTTCCACAGCAAATTTTATTTTTTATTTTAATCTTTTCCATTTTCTTTCTTCCTTTTCTTTTGTATTATCAGGTTCATCCTCCATATATACCTATGATGACTTCTTGAATTTTCAGAGGGAATATTCCAGGTTGCAATTTAAACAAAGGAGATGTTATATGGGATTATCTACAGCCTTTCCCTGCATTTGGTACAGGGTATCAGAGATGCATTTTCATTCTCTTCAAGCAAGACCAGAAAATTGATTATTCATCCATGAAAAAAGATATACCTTGGTAATTAAAAATCAGGATTTTCAACACATTATTTACTGTAAATTAAGTCAGAGAAGTTTGGAATCAATGTCCACTTCTTTCAGTTTGCAGTTGAGTAAACGCACCTTCAAAACTGAAGATTTTTATAGACAACATCAAAAGGACATTACTCCAGCAGGTCTTGCGTTTTTTCAAACTGACTGGGATCCATCACTCACCGATTTTTACCACAATGTTTTGCGTAAATTCATTTTTTAAATTAACATAAATATTAGTTTATTTGTTATACTTTGTTTTTAATCATGTCTACTATAAAAATATTTTTCATTTCAGAAATGAAAGAACCTCAATATGAATATGATTTTCCAGAGCCTTACATTGCTCCACAAGAGTGGTTTCCAAAAAGGAAACCGTTTAATACGTAAGAAACATAGACTTATTTAGTTTGTATTTTCATGTGCTTATGGTTTTATTTCATTTGCTTTTCCATTTTACAGTTACCAGGATAAATATCGTGATCAGAAAGCTATTGCAAAAGAATATTTGTTGAAAAAATTTAAGAACAGACATCCATTTGAGAAACCTCCAACACCATTACGTTTTCCTAATGCTCACCCTATTGATCATAAAATACCATCATGGCTGAAGGAGGAAATGAAGAAAGATAGGCTTGGTTGGGGTCGTATAAATGACTATTAGATCTATCAAAAAAACCTAATCAAATGTAAATATCATTGTTTTCTTATTAAAAGTATTTAAATTATTAGTTCATACTCATACAAAACCCTTCCAAACTCCAATTTCTTCTACCTCATGTTTCATTTGATATGGCTATTTTTACAGATTTGTTATAGTCAATTTGAAGTTGTATGATATAAGTGTTCCAACAATCTCAGTTTGTTGATAATCAGGCAGTAAATATGAGTTTGTGAGAACACTTCCCAATAGAGGACAACTTTTTTGTCACTTTTTGTTAGAAAATGTTGGTTGACAATTTCTAATGCAATGGGCAATATCAGTAGGAGTGGCAGGGTGCATGAAACTGTCTAAATTTAGAAAAATGTTCACATGAGTGTCATGTTGACAATTTGATTGTTCAGACCATCCCTATTGGAAAGCACCTAAAAAAATATCCATCTTGACACTGTTTTAACAATTCCATGTAGTCAATATCCTTTTGCCTCTCCCTAATAACTAGTTATTACTTGTACTCTTTCTTGCATATGAAAAATTCAAAAAAGATTTAAAATATTTTGCTGCCACATTGAATAGCTTTCAAAATCCTACAGCTACACTGCACAGTACAGTGTATTGAATGAAACAAACAAAATGTAGGGTTGTATAAGTTCCCCTACAACTTTCGGAAAAAATGTAAAGTAAGTGAAGAAATGTCTCCCAAAGAGTGCAAGTATGTAAAGAATCACAATTCATATGGAATATGCAGATATTATTTGTTAAGAAGTACTTGGTGAAAAAGCAATTTTAATCAATGTTAAGTGGAACTCATGTCAGCTAATGATATATGTACAAAATGTATTTAACAACAATAGGATAAGCCACTATATGCCCATAATCCACACCCTCAAATCAGTGAGAGACAGGAATGGTCAAGAAGAATGATGCAAATAAGACTTATCTAAAGAAGAAATGTACTGCTGACATGCCAACATACACAGAATAGATCATTTTACAAAGAAAACCTTTATATTTATTAATCCTTACTACGTCATTAAATTAAGAAATTGAGATAATTGTGGTTAGTGTGAAATGGTTAAGACTGCTTATTTAAATAAATAGATATATTTTCTCTAATGCATCAGTCTACTAGTTTTTACTGGATGTATTTCGAAAATTTCATGTTCGTGCAAAAAATCTAGTGCTCCAGAATGGCACAGACTTTGGCATATTACTAGTTTTTTAATGCCTTTGGTCTGGACTAGCTTTTTGGTTTTCTCCCAGCTACACATTTGGGCAACATCCCAAAGAACACTTTCTCAATATTTCTGTCTCCTGTTGGTTGAACTAAAATATGACTGCAAGAATATTACAGATGAGTAAAACCTTGTCCTTATTTTTCATATAAAAATTTCGATCCAATTTCAGAAAATGTTTGACCAGTTTTCTAAATCAAAAATTAGAAGCACATTTTCAGGGATGATATTTAAGTTTCCGAGAATTTTCATTCTAAATCGTTTGAAGCACATCTACTTACAAATATAATATAAAAAAATATCTGGTAATAACGATGAGAAATTTTCCAAAAAACTACATTTGTGTAATTTTGGGAAAAATAGAAAAGAAAACAGTGAAATGGAGTTTATCTAATCTTATACAGTACATTTAACACTATACCTGCCACAATTTAACAAAAAAAATTGGGCCCAATCTCTCTCACACTCTCAATTGCTCTCCCTCAACTCTTTCACTCTCACTTTCATTCTTTCTTTACACACTCTCTTATTCTATCACTCCCCCTTTCTCACACTCATTCTTCATCTCTCTCTCGCCCTTTCTCTCAATCTAACTCGCTCTTAATATCACTAACTTCCTCTCTCTCTCTCCCTAATCCTCTTATTCTCACTCTTTCTGTCACAATCACACTTTTCTCATACTATCACTCTCTCATACTCTGTATCTCATTCACAAGCTCTCTCTCACCCTCTTTCTCACTCTCTCCCAGTAACTCCTTCAGTCTGTCTCACACTCGCAATCTTTCACTCTCACCCTTTCATTCTCCCTCACTCTCACTCCCTCTCTCCTTCACTCTTTCTTGCTTTTACTCTATCACTCACCCTTTCTCACTCTCATTCTGTGTCTCTCTCACTTTCACAGTCATTCTTACTCTCACTCTTTCCTTCACTCCCTCTCTCACTATCCCTCACTCTCACTCTCTTACTCTCAATTTCTTTCTCTCATTCATTCCTTCTGTCACTCTCACTCATTCTTTCTGTCATTTTCACACACCCTTTCTCACTCAGTATCACTTTCATTCTCACATACTTTTTCTCTCACTTTCTTTGTCACTCATTCTCTTACTCTGTCAAACTCTCACACTCTCTCTCATACTCTTCCTCTTACACTTTCACCCACTCACTCTCTTACTTTCTCACTAACTTTCACTCTTTCATTCTCTCTCTCTCTCCTTCTCTCAATATCTTTCACTTTCTTTCTCATACGCTATCACTCTCACTCCTTGTCCCTCGCGCTTTCTCTTTATCACACAACCTCTCTCATCACTCTCTTTGTCACTCGTTCTCCCTCCCACTTTCTCTCACTCTCCCTATCACTAACTCTCCCCCACTACCTCTTTCACTCTCCCTTACTCTCTGTCACCCTCACACTCTCTCTCATTCTTTTTCACTCGTACTTCTTTCTCAATCTCGCTCACTCCGAGTTTCATGTTCTCTTTCTCTCACTCTCTCTGGCACCAATGTAATAGCATGTTCAAGAATACTCATCCTGTAGATTACGGTGTGATAAGCAGGTTTTTTGTTGTGTTTTTTATTTATTTTTAGGGGGTCGGCTTTAAAATTTTACTTTTGGCTTGGAACGTTTCGTTTAGGAGTTATTTAATGATATAGAGACAACAATCCTGCTAAGGGTATTCAAATTGCATTTGACATTAACATTTAGTTTTGTTATTTTTTGACATTTTAATAGTTATTCTGCTATTTGGGGCAGAAATAAATCCGACAAATCAGAGATAATTAAAATCGGTCCAACCGTTAAGTTATAAATGTTGTAACTAACCCTATTTTGTTTTGTTTATTTAGATCGCACTTTTTTCACGCAAAATTTCACGAAGTTTAATAACATTTTCAAACAAATGTGAATGGCAATGAAAGAAGAAATTTCATTTGAGGAAAAATCTCTATCTACAATATTGTTGTTCTAGGAACACGTCCAGAAAATTTCAAACTCTCGCAATTTTCGAAAATTCAAAGTGTAAAGTGAAAATGACATATGACATCATTGCAATTGTATTTAATTCTATTCAAACAAGAAATTTAAAGAAAACATTGGAGCCAGTTTTGAGAAAATTTTGAATTCATGAATTCAGGCGCTTCATGTAAACTACCCTCTAAATTTTAAATTGTTCATGGAATCGCAGAGTTTTTAATCGAGCCAGATCGACCGAACAATATTAATTTTGGAAAAAATCCTATGAATAGTTTAGGCATTAGTGTTGTTCACGGGGCAAACGCTTGGGCAGTCGTTTCACCGTAAACCAATTTTTCGGTATTATCCGCGCACGTTTTCTTGAGCCCTCGCTTCGCTAGTTGCGAGAAGTGTGGGCAGTTCTGGTTATTTTGACGAAAGGAATTTTTAATCAAATTTATAGTTCGTTTTTCTATACAGATTCTATCGATGTCGTAGGCTTCCTCGGCCAGAGTCATGATCTGGGCTGTCCGGGTGACGCCGCGTCGATGGCTGATGTGCCGACGTTTCGACTGGTTTCGACCGACATGTCGCGGTCCTCTTCAGGGGCTGTACTGCCAAGGCTGCAGTACAGCCCCTGAAGAGGACCGCGACATGTCGGTCGAAACGTCGGCACATCAGCCATCGACGCGGCGTCACCCGGACAGCCCAGATAAGATATTTTCTATTACACGGTAGCGAACATTTCCAGTTATCAGATTTTGTCTACAACGCTCGTTGTTATCATTTATTCTTCATTCAACTAATGTGGGCCACGGAGTGGGGGTAGGTATCCCGGGGCTCAAGGCGTATAATATCAAGAACCACCAATCACGGATTCTGACTGCACGTGTATTTTACTGTATATTACTATTTTACTATACTGCATAAGTATTTCACTATATTTTGGATCACCATACATCCGATTTTTCTTCGTCTAGGCCCCGCAACATGCGTTTTACTTTTGACAATTGTCGTTTTTGGCCACAGCATTACATAACTTTGTATATAATACATTACTCCTTATACACTCGTACGTACTTATACGAAAAAGTAATTATTAAAGCTGACCAGACTTGAATATTGAAATCAGTTATCAAAATGTGAATTCGGCACAGGAAACTGCAAACATTTTTTAAAGTGAATAAAAGTGCAATATTTACTTATATTTTAAAATAACTATATATTTTTTAAATTAATATATTGAAAAATTAATAATTACATTATATTAAATTGTGATTAACTTAATGTTGAAAGCTCTCCCACTCTGTGAAAAACTATGAACATCTTTGAGACTGTGCTTATAATTGTTCTGAATTTTTTCAAAACGATTATTAAAATTTGGTGTAAATAATATTTCTTTCGGTGGTAGTAATTTCAATGAATTTCAAAAATATATATCTAATATGCCAACAGTTTATAAAAGTATACGGAAGGAGTCACATAATAGCAAAGGGGCTCGAAATTCGTTGGCAATTTTCAGAACCGATGAAAGGATACATGGAACCAAAAGTTTCATACATTTCATTTTATTATAAAGTAGGGTCTTAGCATCATCGCTAAGAACCTAATAATATTTACTTCGAATCGTTTTCAAAAAGAAAAGGTAGCGACTTCTCGTGTGTTGATAAAATAGTACTTTTTTAAATTCAATTTGTCAACAAAATTTGCAGCTACAACCTAAATAAACCAAAAGAAAGGAAATACTGCAAATAACAAATGCGATAAGACAGATGCACCTCAGCAACCGCACAATACAGCTCAAAATTTAGTAATCCTCTAGGAATTGCTTACGCGTGAAGCAAAGGTTGCCACCCAACACTTTCCCGCCAAACGTTGTGACGTCATTCTGAACATGCTTCTTGAATTTCGTTCATAGATATCGCGGCGTGGAATCAGCTCGTTAATGCACGGTGTAAGAAATATCTTAAATTTGGGCTTTTAGTTCATCGTGCGCGAGGGTCTGTCTTCACGATGTGATATCTCACGGCATTTCACATCTTCCTCGGTCGTGACGCTAAATGTCGCATGATCGCCAGCTCTGCTCGATACGAATGCGATCATGCGACATTAGCTGCATGACCGCGAATATCGTAAGATCGTGAAGACAGACCCTCACGTGCTAAGAAAAAAAACAAACAATTATATACCATGTCGCAACGCAAAGAGATAAGACCTAAAAGTTTATTTCATTTCAATTTTTTAATTACAAATAAGTATGTCTGTACACTTTATACTCTGTGGATATTTATCACAGTGTGAGAGAATTCTTTTACGCCGTCAACACGGAGATCGTAGTATTTATGACAGCGTGGTTTCAGCATGGTGTAGAAATCTATATCTTATAGTGCGATTTTTATGTAGCTGCCTCTCAAGGCCTGTCTTGACGATGGAATAAGTCACGGCATTTCGCGTCTTTCTAGGATGTGCCGCTAGATGTCGCATTTTCACGACAGTATCGAGTACACGGTGCTTGTGATTGTGGATTTCAGAAAATTCGTGGTAGATTCGTTCTACAGCAGAGAGAATTTAAGTCCGAATCCAATTCAATGCTTGTCATTTGTTCGGTCGGTTGTGAATTGGTAAATGTTGGATGCAAGGAGGTTGTATTATTATATGGTATAGCGCAGGTATAGCGAGTTTAATCTCCTTGGATGGATGTTTGCCTTACGTTTGCCGGGGAAATTGTTGATGAAATATTATTATTCTTGAAGACGCGTGGAGTGCAGATTTGTTACGGCATAGACAGAATACGAGTTGGAGATAAGTGATTTAGGGGTCACGGTGTCGACAGTACGTGTTGGAGAAGTGAGATTTAGGGTTACATATCTTCTTTTTTGGTGTGAATACTTCAGTATGAGTAAAGCCCATCCACCGGAACTGAAGAAGTGAGTATAGAAAAACATGTTTTGCCGATTTGTTACCATGAGTGGATATAATTTTGTACCTTCTTGAACGCTTGTGTTAATTTGATAATTTGTTCTCAGATTCATGGACAAGAAACTATCATGTAAGTATATTTAAATTTTAATGTTATGTATCAAATTTTATATTTTTTTGTAAATTAAGACATTTATTTCAAGTATTTACTGGCAACAAGGAAACTGGCGTAGCGTGAATCATCGATACCATGAATCACAATTAACATATTGTGTGTAATATTTATTAAATGTTGTTAGGAATGCTGTATAATTTAAAGTATGTTAATTTTAAAATAAACTGATGGATGGGTCTGATTGCGATATGCAGTTATATAAACGTGCTGATAAATTGGCTGAAGACTAGTATACAGTACAACTTACGGAAGGCGTTTAAACTGACACTCAGCACAGTTTTGGCTTTAACTAGGCAGTTAGAATTCTGGAGGCTTTCTTGAAAAGTGATGTCTTATAAAAGTGAAGTGGTAATTATGTGTTGGATAGACTCGAGTATGTTTATAGTGAACGCAAGGGCCGAAGGCCTGAGCCTTGCCGTGACTTGGATCTGGGCGAGCGAAGCGAGAAAACTTGCCTTTGAAAGTAAGACAAAGCATATGAAGGGTGAACCATGCCTATCCGTAAGTTTAATTCATTTTTATTACAGCACATACAGTAATTAGGGCTTAAGCCCTGCTGCAACGCTTTTCTAAGGGAGTACCGTATATTAAATTTTAATACAATTAACAATTTTAATAAATAAATCCCTCTCCTAATGGCTGAAGTGGAGAACACTGTACATCTTAAGAAGTAGTTTAAACTGGCTCCTAATTGAGGGGAATGCCATGGTGGAGGGGTGAATAGTGATTTATAAAGAGAATCTTTCAATGGGCAGGAGAAGTGAGTAATGGAAGTTACTTAGTACATATACTCTGATTTATTCAACTCTGCCCTGGCTGGTATCAGCTGTTAACAGTTTCATCCAATCTGGAGTTAGAACATCACAATGTCACTATGGTTCAAACTCCCGATTGCGTGGAACTGTCGGGAAAATCACAGTATACTCACAAGATGAGAAGTTTGGCAAAATGCCCCCATTGTATTTCTGATCATTCTTTTCCTCGTTTTGTCCTCACACTGATCTCGGTCAAACTGGAAACATACCTGCAAACCTGGACAACACTCGGGCATGGTTGTTTTATCTTCCTGTAGATACAAAGGCTCCAGGGAGAGGGGTTAATAATTTAAATGAGAATGTAGAAGATACCAGTAAAGATTTTTGAATTTTTTTAAATGGATGCCATTTGTCTTTGTGCACTCACGAAGAATCTGTTCCTATATTTTAATATTGTCTCAATCACTTTTGAGGACAGAGCTCTTATGTGTACAATGTACCCTTCTCAGTGCCAGATATTACACAAGTATGAAGAATGAAACCCATAATTCTGTTTTCATTGATGCCATTTTAAGATTTAAATGGGAGTCCATTAAAGCATTTCGTAGAGACAGTCATGAGTAAAACATTTGTAGTCCTAATGGGTGGTCATACCCAATTAAGATTTTAAAAAAAAATCCTTCTATGTAAGTGCTAATGTAAATTTTAGTTAGAATAAAAATGGGAATCATTTGAGTTATTGTTTACAATCATTTCTTTTAAATGTTTTTTTATTATTTAAATCTTTTTTGCACTCCCTACTTCAGCCAGAGTAAATGCTAATTTGCTTGCCTATTTTAATAAAAATCAAACGCTTGAACTTTTGGGTGCTGTTTATAAACTAAGTGTGGGCAGTTTTGCCAGAGAGGCTATTGGGAGGTACTTGACTTGAAGCATTTAAAGCATTTCAAATTTTTCTAAAAAGTGGCTCTAAATTTTCCCTTTTTAATTCAGTAAAAATAGCCTAATAATAATGTTTAGGTGTGATTTTTAATACAATCTCTGAACAATGCACTAAATTACAAATGCCATTTAATAAAGTTAATTGATTTTCAAAAATCAATCTTTCCTTTTTTTCTTTTCCAATATTCTGTCCTTGCTTTCAAAAGATAACCGAAGTACTATTAGGACACAAGTTGCAATATTTTCAGAACCATTACAAATTATCAGGCAGTATGTGTTGTTATTGTCCGTACTATTTTTTAAATGTTATTAAATTGTATTTTTTCTTTTTTAGTAAAGCTTAATGGAGGAAGGCATGTAAGTGGAATCTTGAGAGGGTTTGACCCGTTCATGAATTTGGTGGTTGATGAAACTGTTGAAGAATGTAAGGATGGAGCGAAGAACAACATTGGGATGGTAGTAAGTACTTCTGCTTCTGTTGTAAATGAGAATTTGATTATTGAAAACCTTTCATATTGAATATTTCTTGCTAAAATTCTGAACCATTGATATGATGTGAATCCTTATTAACTGTTCCAGGTGATCAGAGGCAACAGTATTATTATGCTGGAAGCACTAGATAGGATATGAAACATGATAGCCTCTTATTTCAAATATCTTGTCCATCTTTATAATAAAATACAAATAAAAAGTTTGTCATAATAAAATAATTATACTTCTGTAATTTGGTTTTGTATGTTTTTCCTGAATAGTATTATCCTTTACCACTATCCTTGTAGCACGTGTGTACATTTAATTTTCTCAACTATGCAAGGGGAACATCTTAAAGATGAATTCATAAAATTTAGTTTGTTTAAATGCTATGAAAATCCCTTGGATGATCAGGTTTCCATAGTCGTTAAGGCCTCTGTCACACGAGTGTTGCATTAATGTGTGTTGTAGATCAATTCTCGTATATGGAATGGCTGGTGTCCTGTTTCACATAAAATAGAACATTACTGTGTGTCAACAAGACGCTCATGCGCAGGTGCCTTGTTTTGTATGGCCGAAGTATTTTGAACCTCTGCTATAAACCACCCAGTTGTGGTCTCTGGCTTGAGTGCAGGGTTGTGCAATTGCAATTTTGTTCCTTAAATTGTTTCTAAAATTATGGTTAGTGAATATCATTTCAATAACTTTTGAGTGGCAGATAGTTTATCAAGGTGACAAACTCGTTATTCAATTTTGCTTTGAGTGCTGCTCTTTCTGGTTTCATGAGCATCTGGAGACAGTTGTAAGTTATTTTTCTTGCTATAGTCATTGTTAAAATCTGTTTATTTCAATTTGCAGGTTATATTCATTTTTTTAAAAAATTATTTTTTTTGCATATTTAGGTTATGGTTTAATCTACCTTAGACCTAAGTGTTATATTCACATGCAATAATAAGTAATGCTTGTCAACCCCTCGCTCATGTACTGGGGTCCTTACCCAACCAACAAACACCATTGAATCTAGTTGCTGACTGCAGAGCTGTTCCTAATTCCAGAATTGCAATGCCAAATGAACAATGTCACCTCAGAACTTTGTGTTGTGGAGATTGTTGAAGCTATTAGCATTTTTTTTTCTGGGCAAAGTAGGCTGTGTTAGTGTGATCAAATACAAATTTGAGAGAGTTTAGTTAGTTGCCTTCATATAGCTCTTATTTTTAACACCGTCGCCATTTCTTAAGACAATATTCAATTAACAACATTTCCAATTGTATTTTGTGTGCACTGAAATTGCTAACTTGTATTGTGTTTTTGGCAAAGTATTGTCTTAAGCCGTCATCCTGATGGAGTTTTACGTCGGTTTACTCAGTCTCAATGTGCATGCTGGGATGGTCCCTTGTTTGCAGTCTCAGGAATACATGTAGTATATATCGTTGGCTTATGGGTGGGAGATATTGGGCTAGATTTTCTAGTCTTGGAAATATTCAAATTGGTAAACAGTTCTTAAATTTTTATAATTTCTACTTTTCTAGTGCAGGTTTTATATTGGAAACTTTTCTTAAAATGGAGTTGATCATATGCACATTTTTTATCCCTTTTGTTTTTAATTTAATAATCCAGTAGTTTTATAACACATTCTATTATTATTATTATTATTATTATTATTATTATTATTATGAATTACAAGTGTTGAGGCTGCGAAATACTTATGAGTTAGGAGAGCAGTTAGTAGAAGCTGCAATGAAACATCGCCTCTTCTATCAGTTTTTTATCAGAGAAGGGTGTTCTGTAAAAGAAACGACACACCATTGTTATTTGGAGAAAGAATGAGTATTGAGGTAGATTATCACTTATCTCTGTCCAGACGACCTCAAATGTTTCTTTACGAATTTTTTCGCTTTTACTTGAGGTTACAACTGCATCCACTGCCTGGCACACCCTGAATCGAACCTTCAAAACATCCAACACATTTTTACTAAGCTTTCTGCACTTCACCATCTCCAGAGTGCCAAGTTTGAAATGTATGATCCTTTCCTCAGGAACCCCTTCAAAGAACATCGAAAGTGCCTTATTAGAAACAAGGCACCAAATTTGAAGCAATTTGGCAGTCAGTATGCCAACAATAAATATTATCATTACAATATACATTATCTACCAATGTTTTCCATTTCTCTTAGGGCTTAAACTCTTTACTCGTGTTTTCTCTTGTATGCTGGCAATATTCCCTTCTAGTCTTCTTTAGGCGTAATTCAATAATACATATGTAATCTTAACTCCTTCAAAACATTTGTGTGAAATATTTTGTCGTACTTACCCTTTCACTGACTTATACAAGATCCTGCCAATCCTTTCTGTACCTAACTTGTGGAGCCAGAAAATGTAATTTCTCCAAATTAGAGTAAATTCTCGTAGCATTCAATCTAATATATTTTTGATTAACATTAATACATCCCTAACTTGAAATAAATTAATTTAATATTCCTAATGTTGTGAGAATATGCGAAAAACCCTCTCATCCAAATTGCATATGTATTTCTCTTTGAATGACCTTTTCATTAACTAATGTATTAAAATTTTTTTGAAAATGGCAGGTAAATGCTAAAGGAGGCTATTTGGCTGGAGCCTCGTCACCAAAAAAATTTATTACTAAAATTGCTACTCATTTTTATGTACTAAAAGTTTTGTGACATTTTCTCCGAAAACTATTTGTAATTGCCTATTAATTAGTTTTGCTTCTGTTTCCTCCAAGGTAATTCTTTCATTCCCCACATTTTGCTTCTCCAGGGTAATTCTTTTGTTCCCCATTTAAATTTGGAAGCCGTAATGACATTGTTAAAACTTAACATTACTGTGGTTATAATCAATAAGTTGAAATGATGAGTTAACATGGCACAAATTTATAGATCTCATTCCAATTTTATTTTACTTATATCACAATTAAAACATTTTAATTTCAGTCATTTATGGATTAACTAAATAAATTCTGAAATAGTAAATGGCGAAAATTAGCTCATAAAATACAAAAGAAAGTTCAATTCTACCTTTCAGAAATCATAAATACCAGCTGACTGCATGATTAAATTAATTTGCTCACTGGCTTATTGGAAATATTTTTGGTGTGGCTGATTTTCTCGAACTACTATGTTACTTATGACATGTTGGATTGATGGCAATGCAAGTTTCATGACTGCCCAGCGCAAAAATGAAGGATTTGACAAGGGTTACACTTACATTTTCAATCTGAAGAAAGCATTCATACCAAGAGAAAAAAAAGGAGGCCCAATTAAAAAATATATAATTATAATTGTATGCACATTAAGGTACAATGAAATTACTGCTGTCTGTAGATTGAAATAATCAAAATAAGATAATGCAGTATCACAATAGACCGGCAGTTAACTGGCACTAGTAACTAATGCACCAAAAATCAATTTTCTTTAGATTTGTTTCTTAAAATTCAGTTTAAACAATTTTTTTTTCTTTTGCAAGGAATAAATACAGAATTTACAAGGAACTTGCTTTATTTTGGTTTAACACTTTTTTTTGAACTATCTGGAAACTTTATTATTATGTTTTTGCTACCAACAATGGTTCCCTGAAGATTCTTCATAGCTTTTGCAGGTCCAACAGCATCAAAGTAGTTAATAAAGGCATACTGACCATTTGACTTCAAGCTTTTTAAACGCCCATACCTGGAAGTTGTAATACAATTTTAAATTGATTGATACATTGAATAAAAACCATTAATGATTTTAAGCTTAATTACCATTTAATTGTTATAATTAAATAAGCATTTGTATTACTGCTACATTAAGTAGGCCAATTTAATATTAATAAAATGGAAGTTCACTGATCACTACTTTCAAATGTGTATATTTTTTTCTGAAAAATTCATATGTAAATTATACATATGGAGACAGGGATCAATGGATATTTACAATATTTCACAAAATTACATAATGAATGATTACATATGAATCAAAGCGAGGAGTAATAAAAATTACTGAGTAGTGTGTGAGGTCAAAAAACTTGGTGAGCCTTGCTCCAGAGTAAGCCAAAAATATATTCAATATTCACAGGTTCAATGCAAAATTCAATGTTCTTTTGACATACTTACTTGCCAAATAAATTTTTTAAAGTTTGTTCTGTAACTTCTTTGGTTAGGTTACCCACCCAGAGTGAAGTACTGCCAAGAGGGTTAGAAGGGCTGCAGAACAAATGCATAGTTTAAATCGGCAAACAAGCAAACATTCATAAATATAATATATTTTAAATAGCATTAAGATTTTAATTTTTTGTAAATTATACATATGGAGACAGGGATCAATGGATATTTACAATATTTCACAAAATTACATAAATTAAAATTATGAATTCATGGAATACATACTCAAGAAATACGTCATATTCATTCTCACTCTTGTCATCTTCTTCCTCAGAGTAATAAACTGCTTCATCCAATTCTTGCATTATTGCATTAAACTTTCCGGATTTCAGAAGTTTTTCTGCTTGCTGTCAGATAAAATTCAGTGACAACACTTAACAAAAACTGGTAAAAAAGATGTTTCCAATAAATTTTAATATTAAGTATACCTCAACATCATTTGTCATTCTGAGTGCTCTTATTATATTCTTCTTTGTGTACTTTGTCTGCTTACTCAATTCAAGTGTCTGAACCTCCAAAATATGCCGAATTGCTTCTTCACATCTTGGCTCTAGCTTGAGAACTAATTTAAATGCCTCTTCAGCTTGAGAATATTTCTAGAAGCAGAGAATGAAAATATTGCCTATTTCATACATCTGCATAAATCAATTAAATTAGTTTGAATGCTAAAAACCACAAAGTAACTTTTTGTAGTTATTTATCATCCATATTTACCATAAGAACGATTGACCAGTATCACAAATTACAGTAGGTTTTAAAATTAACTTGCATAATAATTCCTTTCCTGTTCTTAAAATAACTGTCCTTAATTTATACAATATTAACTTTCTTGTCTACTTGTTTTTAATGCATTCAACATGATCTTTAAAATTTGGATGGTTATCTATAATCACTCCAAGATATTTGTATTTCTTGATGCATTCCAGATTTGCGGTGGAAGTACAACTAATTGTCTTGATTTCTTGCACCATAACCATATATTACATTACCACTCAAATTCCCGCTAATCATTCGCTAACCATCACATTTTTTTCTATTTACCACACACTGTACACTACCAAATTAATAAATTAATGTATTATCGACACATATGGAGTTTACATTCCTTTATCGCCCCTGGCTCTCTATGTATTACTTGTTTTTCATCTGATACTCCATTATTAAATCTAATCTGTCCTGTAGATAATCCTATAGCCATTCATACACACATCCATGTATGTTATACATTCTTGCAGTTTTTACAACAGTAATCCTATGTTAATTGTACCAAATCTTCATCTGTAGTCCAAGAACATTGGTACTACCCTCTCTACCTTATCAGTAGCGCTTATCAAATCCTCAATTCCCATTTGCAATATTGCCCCTAAGTTTTCTCTAAATCCTAATTGTTGCATTTACAGATTGTCTTCCCTAATATATTTCATTAACGTTTCAAACATTCCTGTTTCCATAATTTTTGCAATTACTGGAAGAGTATTAATAAAACACAAGTATTCTTTTGTTGGTTTGATAATCACTGATAATGCTTTTCTTCAAAACCGTCTGAATTGTTCCTTTCACATATTTACTTTTTTACTAATAAAACCTTCTATAAGGAACATCCCTTTGAACTATAATTTATTTAATTTTTGCTGAGTGCCATGAACATAGCATTTTTTCTTACTCATATATCTGGCTTCCTTGCCTTCAGCGTACTCTCTACAAACTGTTAACACTAACAAACTTACATTCACATACTAGTTGCTTTCAGTATCTCTTCCCTTGTCAATATCAATTTTGGCTTCATCTCAATTTTCATTTCATTATTTCCAACATTTCACCAAATTCTAATTTTCCTTTCAACTTTTCTTGTTTATCTATATAACTAATTAATATCTCTGGAATGCTTAATACATTAATCATCTTAGATCCTTGGTATCTGAAGTACTTCAAATTCATATTGTCAGTTATTAAAAGATACATTAAAGTCTTACTATCTTTAGTTACCCTAGCTAGTTCCCGTTACCAGCCTTTTTAGTCCCTACATTTTTTAGACAAGATTTAAATCTATTCATGTAGAAATCTTCTCCTACAGCCAATCTATAGTGACGCCACCACATATTGTATTTCTGTTTTTTATAAAAAAACAAACAAACTTAAAAACAATTAAAAAATGGATAAATGTACAATGAGTAAAGGGTATTCTATGCATGTTTTCTTAAATTGTGGGATCTCCACCCTAATCAATACACAAGTTGAATTCTAAATACAGATGGAAATTGTTTTTACCAAAACTTGATAAAATTTTCCTCCAGTATAATAAAAACTACATGAAAGGCAAGTCAGCTACAGTTTTTGGATATTATCCCTCATCATGCCATTTGTAAAGAAATTGACTTTCTTTCAAAAGAATATGGATTTAAAATTTGATTACCTATATCTCCGACTGAACTTTAGAAAATGTGAACAGATAATGAGGTTACATTAACCCCTTTTTACTCAAGATCTAATAATTCCTCCGTAATTAAAGAGGATTTATTTAAAATTTCACTTTTTCCACAACTTGGTGATCTACATACACCTGTAAATGTCCCTAAAAATCAGCTTCAAAAACATGTCAACGGCTAGTATCCACCATTCCCATTGTTTTATAAACCTAAATGTCACTTGATATGATAATACATACAATTAACAAAATACATTACTATAACACCTGAACAACTAGAATTTGAATCGCATCTAATCCTGGAATACCCTTCAGATACAATAAAGCATACTCATCCACAAATATTTAAAATTGGTTTAATTTATCACAAAAACAGTTAAATGATGTCCTTTTAAGCAACAAGTTCATTTGCATTCAGAACTCTTTCACCCCCATTGTATTGTCGTTCTAACATCTTTGATTGCTATACATTTTCATACATGGCATAACACTTTCATACAAATTACAAACCTCCATGTTCATCAAAACTTCTCCTTTCCGGAAATATGACTTCTTATTTTGTGGAAACAGCAATATCATATTTTCAGCATCGTCCATAGCTCTAAAATATAATAAAACATTAAATAAATAGACTTCTGCACTGAGCACTTACTAGCATCATTATTAAGCAATTAATAACTTTTAGGGACACTAATACTGAAATTTTGTTGAAATTCTGAAAAAATATCGAATTTTTGGTTTTGGCTTTGTAACATTGTATGGAGTATTCGGAATATAATAAATTTACTTCAGACCAGTTTTCACCAAAAGACAGGGGCCATTTAAATACCCCTGTGTGTTTGCGTTTAAAGATCCCAAATACCCATTTTAATTTTTCAGGCTCCAAACAAGGAAGAACAACTATTTTTTTGCAACTTTCTTTTGTATTAGTGTGTTGCACTCTGCGAGCTGTTGGAAAAACAATTGGTTTAACATAGTCACAATGTGGGAGAAAAAATAAAATACCGAAAAGAATTCTTAATTTTTTTTAAAAGTTCAGATTTTAAAATCCATGCACATATTTTTTTAATAATAAATAAATTTCAAAAAATCCAACCAGAATTTAAAACAAAAATACAATGTGCATGGGACATTTTTATCCAACCGTGTTTCGTGACAAATATAATAAAATTGTATGTATCTTCAAAACTATTTAACCAAAACTGATAACATTTTAGCCAAGTAAATACATTACGATAACTAATTAACCTGCAAACTTTAATGAAGATTAGATAAAAAATAAACAAGTATTAAATTTCAGTCCTAATGTCTCCTAAGACTCATAAAATGATTGAAGTATATCAAGAAACATAAAACTAGAATTAATCAACTCAATACCTCTTGTAATCTTTCAACTCCAGATAACACATGCATCTATTATTTAAAAGCCTGGCATCATTAGAGTGTCGTTTTATAGCATCACTGTATAAAGTAATTGCTTCTTCATATGCACCCCACATTTGTTTTTGGTATGCTTTCTTTCCAATCTCTTCAATTCCATCCATTGTTCTATTACACAAAAATACAAAAGCCTGCACAAAACTATACAATAATCAGCAGCATTCGTAAAATCACTCATCAATGAAACCAGATGACACAAAGCCAAAAAGCCGAACACCTGTCAAACGGTTTGACACAAACACTACCAGAGAGTTTATGGACACGCATTCGACACCGAATACTCGCAAATACTCTCTGAGAAAGAGCATGATGAATGATGGAAATAACCACCATGAACACAACAGACAGAAGGCCCAAAATCGCGATCGGAATCTCTTTGCTAGAATATTGACAGATCGTTGCATACTGTAATTGAATTCATTTTTCGAATTTGAAATGATTTAATGGATGTTAAGAAAGATTCCGAAGCACATTTGACTCTATTTTTGCCATGAATGAAGCTACAAATCAAAATACATTATGCCTTTTAAGACTTTTTAACGTTGGCAATATGTGTAGCAAGAAAAGACCGTATTTGACACACACATGATAGAACTGTCATCGCTTCACGTCCTCATGCTCGTACTCTCTTCTAACTTGGCAATGGGGATTGCATGAAGTTGAAAGTTCGCAGTTTGCGGATAAAAACATTAAACATATTTTATTATTCCTTAAAGATTCGAGTTTTGATTGTTATTTCTTCGAGTGCGCGTTGGAGAGAAATCTAAAAATGTCGACGTGTCAGGCAAGTGAAGTCCTCTTAACCCAATTTATACTTTCTTCCTAGTTGCCGAAGACGATGTCCTATTTAGTACCGTCCAACTAAATTTTTACAATAATAAATGGCTGTGTTCATCAGACTCGTGCAGGCAGCTCGCACGTTTGGCTACGTCTCTTGCCAGCGGTGGTCCCTGGCGCTTTTATTTTTGCTATATGGTTGTTTACTTCTGCTTACTTGGGCATTGTCGTGGCCACTGCGTTCTCAACCTCCTAAACTCATTCCTTCTGCCCAAGTAAAGAAGGAAGTAGATACAGGAAATGTTCCAGATCACTTGGAAGCTGTAAGAATTGAACGAGATGGGGAAATCAATAAAGAATTTCATAAGGAAGTGGTTGTTGGAGATTTAAGTCCAAATGTCAAGAAGGAGGATCCCAAGATTTTACTTGAAACTATTTTTAACAAGTATTTACATTTTCCTCATTAAAAATGCTTTTGATTTACTGATGATAAATGTACAATATTTCAGTATTTTCTTCTTTTCACAGAGCTGATACGAATAATGATCACTTATTAAGTTTGAGTGAATTATCTACTTGGATCAGTGCTAAAATACAAGAACATATAAAGCAGGCCTTGGATGAAAACTTTGGGTTGTTTACTAGTATTGATAACAATCCAAGAAATGGTAGGCCATTTAAAGTTGTTTTACGTTTATAATGCTTTAATACATTAAGAAAAAGTTTTTGCTTTCTTATTGCATTGTATGTGTTGTAGGTGTGGTATCATGGGATGAGTATCATAGTTACTTTTTGAAACAGAAAGGTTTAAATGATAAATACGTGGAAAACCATGATAAGAAGCATAAAGATTTGGACAGAGCTCTGAAAGGTATTTTTAAAATATCAGTATTTGGTAATTTACAAATCAAGTGTTTGGTTTAGATAACAAAATTTTGATTAATCTGCTTGAAGATTTGATATAATGTTCATTAACTGGTAAATATAAATGTATCACACATTTTCCCTTTTTAACTATGAAAACTGGAGGTTACACATTTGTCAAATGTGTTCAGTCATAACATTTACATGCATACCCTGATTGAAAAATTATTTTTCCTTTTCTTTAGAAAATATAATCTCTCTGTGGGCGATGCTAATTTATTGATAATGGGGTTCAAAGATATAATAAATAATAAATTGGTTCAGCACTTTAAACATCCAAACATTTACAAATAATGCGAACAAAATTTTTTTGAATTTGCAAACTTTGTCTTTTTTTATTGTTCAGTTTTCATTAAAATCTCTAAATTTTTGAAATTTGCAAATGTACACAAGTTTTTTAAAAGCAGATTTAATGCAATTTTTTAAAGCTACTTCAATGTCAGAATGGCAGGACTTAATGCATGTCGAACTTACAAAGGCAAGGATGTATCCAGTGGTTATCTGCATGGATCTATTTGCAAACTCATTTTCATAATATTCTAACGGATCATTGCTTTTTCAAGAGGGGCAGGTATCATGGCAATGGTGTATGTGAATGGTTTTAGCAGTCATTGTACCAGGGAAAAGCTGTAAGGATTTGGAAGAAAGGTCAATTGTACATCTGAGTATTATTTCTAAGTAGTGCAAGTGCGAAAATGAAAACTTTCCATTGAAAAAGCAATTTATGCTAATATGGCCCACTTCTCATATAAGACTTCTCTGCACTTGAAAATAGATGGAAGAAACATTAAACAACCAGTCTTGCAAATTACCTGGAAAAATGGCTAGATCCGAATGTTACATATCTGCCCCATATCAACATTATATGTAAAAGATGCATTAATTTCATTAAGAACATCTCGCTAATCTCTGCCAATTGCATTAAATTCACAGGAATTCTGTTTTGTAATGTCTCTCTCCCCCTCCCCCAAAGGACATGAAAAACAGTTCCGTTTTCGGGTTGGAGAAGTTCCGTTTTGTACTGTGTAAAATGCCGTTTAATATCAAGGTCCGGAGAAATTTTTCAGTTATGGCAGATTTCCAGCTTGAATAGGATTCCAGTTTAGACAGATTTTACTATATCATAATACCACTTGAACCTGAAAAAATATTCGCCCAGGCTAATAAACAAATTTTTGTGTAAGCGAGCAGTTAGTATAACCACAACACCAATCACCTGGTATAACAACCTTCCTGACGCTTTATAAAGACCTGTACATGTGCATTTAGGTCTCGTGCCTGAACTTTCGCTCTTGCAAGGAAATTGTTCAGTATGCTCAATGAGTGCAATATTTACTTTATCTGTTCAGTATGTACATATTAACTGTGTATTATGCTGATCTTGTGTTGTATTATTTATGTTGTAAATGCACTCACTACAGTGATGGCAGCATGGATCGTCACTATGACCGTTTGGCTTCTGTCATCAAATGAAGGCTAATGCCCATTGCCATGGGAAGGCTGGTGGTTTTATCTCAGATCTACTTGCTGTTAATGTTGCTAATTGAATCGGTTCCAAAACTGATAGCCACGTGGGGTAGCTTCCAGATACACATTGCTCAAGGCCATGGAAGGGTATTAGAAAGTCACTGGGTTGTGAAGCATTGTGCATTGAAAGAGTCAGCATTACAAATACAGCCAGTGAGGTTGTATTTTTCAACACAGAAGCTGTCAATTAAGTGTTTGATATTCATTTATTTGTGATTTCTTCCATAAATACGTTATATATTAATGTATTTTGATAATTATTTTAGTCATGTAATTTATTACTTTCTGGGGCAGCAACATCAATATCACAAATATTATAAAATGGGCAACTTTACATAAAACAAAAACCTCCCTAAAACAGAAATTTTTGTGTCCCAATCGATTCCGGATTAGACAGATTTTACTATATTACATAACTGTTACAAATAATGTGGAAAACCATGTGCTGCTATAGCTTCACTAGTTTATCTCCACTCTGCTTTTCTTTCATGGCATTTTGTATTGAAAATTGTACGTTGAAGGATTTAGATTGTTATTTTGTAATTGGATATCAGTGGTGGTTCGTAATTTCAAAAGTTGAAAAGCTGGCGATAAATTTCACAATTTTAGAACAAGATGCTTAACAAAAAATGCTGATTTCCTGCTATCCTGCTGATTGGCATCTTTCTCATGATAATTGCTCATCCTTCTCTACTCTGGAGTCTTGTCAACAGCCAGCTGAGCATGCCTCATGTGCAAAGATCTGAAGGTCATTTACAATTACTATAAGTATATATGTAAAGTTTGAAGCAATTACTAGAAGTTAACATAATTTCCAGCAGATTCAGGCCAGAATTTGAAATTAATAGTTCTCTCCAAATGGTGTCATCATGACTAAAAACGTCTTTAAATAACTGTCTGTATATTTCCAAATCAATGTGCTTAATGCAAAAATTTCATTCTGTGTCAGAAAGTCAATCTGTGTTCAAACCTTCTAGTTGTGTCTTTTGTAAACCTAAATGCTCTAAAAGAATAAAGGTAAAAAAATGGCATTTGTTCTTACTCAATAGGGGTTGAAAATTACAGAAGTGAAATTAATGAATTGAGAACTATACAAAAAAGGAGAACAACTTTTACTTCTTTTAACATTGTTTCCTAAAAGAGATAGTAATGAGACCACAACAGTGACAACAAATCATTTTGCATACTTTACTCTAGTTTTTAGGTATAATGGGCATCAGTTAGGGACATTTTTAATGCCCTTTTGAATGCAGTTCCATTTGATGATCTAATGTGATGTGGCAGTTTATTTGAGAGTAAATCAGCCGCAAGATACAGGTCTTCAGCTATTGAAGTTTAACCTGTACACAGTCTGTGATATACGCTTCCCTCTCAAGTATTTATTTGTGAAAATATTAAATGTAAGATATTAATTTTCTACAGTTATGGGAAGTATAAGCACCTTGTATGCATTAAGAGCTATTACTGTTAGCATTTTGTGTTTTATGTAATAGTCTACATAAGACTGAATAGGTTTATATTTAAAAATACATTTCTTTTGTGCTTTTAGTGGTCTATTCTTGTTCATATCTGAGGTTCCTTCCCATACTGCAATTCCATACTGTAACTACGATAAAATTAGTTCATAATATAAACTTTTTACCTTCACAGTCTTGAGATATTTAGAAAAATACCTGAACAAGAAAATAATTGAGTTTAGTGCACTGCTCTGAAAATCTCCATGCTTGCAGAAGGACAAGTTATCTCCAAAGATCATTCCAATAAATTTACGTAGGATATTTGTTGTACTGACCCTTGTGAATTGCTTGCAAATTAGTAAGTAGAACATTATCAATAATTTCCTAGATACTTTAAGCCATAAAATCTAATTTCTGATGCCGAATACCGTGTGACACATCTAAAGTCTGAAATATTTAGAAAGAGGTATGCAATCTTAGCATTGTTTTCAATTGTTCTGTAGTATGAGGATGAGTACCAAGTGGTTGTAGTATTTTTCTAAATCTATTTTGCAATTGTGCACACTTTCTTATAACTCAGGAATTTCTTTATTTTGCTCAGAAGTACCTTCTCAAAGAGCTTGCCAAAAGATGAGGTAGGGGCTGTGGAGCGAAACTTTTTAATATCCATGTTACCTCTCTTTACTTTCTCATAAGTATAGAGAAATGTTGTAGAAAATCTATTTCGAGATTTCAACGGAAATAAACGTTTTGGAGACACTTGGTTACGAAAAAGCGGATAAATCTCGTCCCCGTATGTAGTGAATCACTTCCTTTAGCATGTGTAGTCAGAATTCATGATTTGTGGATCCATGATACCGAAAAATGGGTTGAAGACAAAACGTCTGTTCGTCCGTCTGACTAGTGAACAACGCTAATATTAGGTGGTACTTTCCATGAAGTCCCTGGGATATTTTCATAGAGAAAAAGAAAAGGCAACAAATTTTTTGATTAAATTTGTTGTCGGATAGCGTCATAGACGCGTAAGTGATTAATGCGGATTGTATTTGCGTTAACATCCCTAATTTTTCGAAAATTGCAAAAACTCAAAATTTGTTCGGCGTCTTCCTACAACTAAGATATATAAGATAAAGAATTTTTCTTTAATGAAAGCTGTTGTTTAAAGACTGATATTGAAATAAGATAATGTACAATTTATAGAAACCCAGTATTTTTCGCGCAATTTTGCGTGAAATTGACAATTTTTAAAATATTAACAATTATGTTTTCAGAAAATAAACTTTTTCCTTAATTTTCTTCACGTATGAAGCAAAGAACGGCGAAGGAAGTGGTGCTGGTCCCATTGTTGGCGCACTCTGTATTTTTCGAAAATTTGGGGAGGGGGGATTCGAAGTGCTAATTCAGAATTTTCCTTGCGTCGTTTGAGTCTGTGAAAATAAATTGAGAAGTGCATGGAGGCAACTGGATATTCTGAGAATCTCTTCTCATTGCTGGGACATTTTGTAGCTTTTTGAAACGTTTTAATTGTCGGAATTGTCTTGATATTTGCTTTAAAAGAATTGAAGAACTAGACCAAGGGGCTAACCGTAATTTTTGTGAACTTGAGTTATTAGCATGAAGCAAAACTTCAAATATTATTATTTTAGTGTAATATGTTATTTAAATTCACTATGTACTGTGTTTAAAAGTAAAAAAAAATGTGCATTGGCATATGACGGAAGGTTAGGTAACAACCCCCATTATCTCTTAACTTTGTCAATGTGGGATAGCTTTTTTCTTCTGAGCCCTTCAATAATTTTTCGCACCTAATGTTCTAAGATATGAGTAGAGACAGGATTTCAAATACATGTTTCGCTCCGAAACTCTTCTCTTGAGAAATTTATTCATTATGCATGGTTTTTACTGTCTCGAATAAGTACGTATATACGTAGTAAAAGAGAAAGTAATGTAATGCTGCGGAAAA